AATACTACATGCTGCCACAAATTGTTTTCAAACTGGTTTTTTGGTGTTTTGGGGTACCAGGGATCAAACTCAGGACCTTCTACTTGCGAGGCAGGCAGCAGAACCACTGAGTTAAATCCCCAGGTTTCTATTAATTTTAAAATTTTATATATTATATCTAATCTTTAAGTAGATTCCTTGAATATTAACACATTTAATTTAATAACATAATGCCACATTAATCATTACTTCTACATATCTTTTGAACCATACTAGGAAACAAAAGGTTTTACAGCTGGTTACAGTATTCCCATCATCCATCACTATTACCAATATTTTACGTGATTAGTGTTGTTTTGTTTACATGTATCTTCACTAGTCCCTTAGCATTCACTTTTTTCTATCTTTATACAGTTTCCTGAAGTAAATCTTCTATCAACAAGGATTTGTGAGCAATTACATTATTTGTCTAAAAATATATTCCTTTTGTGTTTCTTCTGTAATAATACCTAGGAATAAAATTTTAGTTAAAGGTTGTTTTCTTTCATACTTTGAAGATGTCTTCTTTCATCATTTTCTAGCTGCTTCTCATGCTGTTATAAAACCTGAGATCAGTCTACTGGTTGCCTTTTCTCATCAGTGATTTTAAGATTTTTTGATTCTTTGGCCTTGTGCTTCTCTATAATGTGGATGGATGTGGTTGTATTTTTATTCACATAGCTCATCACTGGGTGTCTAATCTGATAATTTATGTCTTCCTTCTATTCAGGGTAACTAAAGGCATTATCTCTTCTAATATTGCCTCTGCTACACTTTATTCCATACATTTTTTCTCCTTTGTGGTAGATCTTCTCATTCTCATTTTATCCTTTATGCTGTCGGTTTCTTTATCTTTGTGATGTATTATGACTGGTTTGCTAAAAATCTTTCCTCTTGTTCTCTTCTTGTTTTTTATGTCTCCTCCTTCATGCTCGTGATGGCTGGTTTTCTCTGTATTTTGTAATTTGGGGTTAAGGGCTCTATCTGATTTGGGCTGTTATTTATGAGACTCCTAAGAAACCAAGTCTGGATTATCTTTTCAGAATTCTTCTGTCTTTTCTCCAAGTGCCCAAGGGCAGAATTTTATGTTAATTTATCAACTGGGAAATTCTTGAACACAAAGGTGCTACACATGTAGACCTCAAAGTCACCTGCCCAGTAGGTCTAATGTTTGATTCTCGTGTGAGATCTCCCCCCACTCCAAAATACCAAGAAGCAGCCATAAAATCTTTGTTCTGGCAGATGCATGTTTTCCCTGGTCATTTACTGCCTCTTTTATCCAGCACTGTTTACTGTACATTAATTATGTGCTATATACTATGGTAGGTGCTGACTGCTTTCGATTCAAAGATGTGTCTGATGCAGGCCTCATGTTTCAGTGTGTGTAACAGCTCACTCTGTTCTCAAGTGGAAAATGTAGAGGCTTCAGATTCTCAGGGTATAGAACCTCCTCAGGGGTTATTTACAAACCTCAGTTTGTGCCAGAACCTGAAGTAAGTACTTCCTTCTTCAGACTCCAGAGTCAGAAAGTGTTTGTATGTTTTCAACTCATTTGAGTTGGGAGGTATGAAAAATTAGTACAAATAATCCTGGTCTACTTGTAGGGATTACTGAAAAGACCTACAGCTCAAGCTACTCTAGAATAATGGCCTCAGCTCCTTTCTCTTTGTTCACAGGTCTGTCATAATGCAGTTTCAAAATTTAGGCTGCTTGGAATGTAAAAGAAAGTGGAACCCTTTCTAGAGGCTTACTCTTCATTGGAAGTGATTATAGGGGGTAAGTGCAAGAAAATAAGAAAGTATACTAGTTGGTGGCTTTCTCTCTGGCTAATAATGATGATGACAGAGGAGAATTACAAGGAAGCGTTTGACCCTAGTAATGTAGTCACATATCTCACAGCTACTTCCTATGTCCAGTGCTGCTGTAAAGTGGCTTTTCTCTCTATGTATCATTCTTTGGCACTGACTACCCTCACAAATTTATATTGATTTATAATTGCAGATACCATTTCCTTCTTTCCTGGAGTACAAACTCATTTTTGGCGTAAGAGCTATTTCTCTTGAATTGATTCACTAGGATTTTCTTTTTCACTTTAAGAGAACATTCACTTTTTAAATCTATTCATCAAGGCCTCACTATGTACAGGGAGAGGTCTAGGCACTGAGGCTACTAAAGCATGCTGAAGTTCTGCTGTCATAGAGATTAATTCTACGAGAAGAGGCAAACAATAAACGAACACAAATAAGTAAATAATTTCATGTGAGATGAAGGCAAATGCTAAGGGGGAACAGAAAGGTCAGAGGGACGACTTTGCAGGCCTGCCTCTGTTCCATGTGATCTTCAATTCACTTCTTCACATTGGATGCTCTTGGGTCGGTTCACCCTCACCTGCTCCCCTAGAGATGTTCATCAATGTGCTGTTATGCTAGGCAGCAAGATAGCTACCCTGGGAGTGGTGCACATAGTTTTGTGGAAATGAAATAGTCGTGAAAATACAGGATTGTAAAACTTTGGTAAAATTAATTCAGGAAACATACAGTTAAGAAAACACGACAGAGGATCCAGATTTAGTTTAAGGGCTGGAAAATAATTTTTTTCCATTGCTCAGATGGGGGATCTTTCTTTTTAGTATAATAAGGTTATGTTCTGGGCAGAAAGTAGGGGAAACTCCCCTGCCATATTGTGCCAATGAGAGTGGAATGAGGACAAGCTCCATGGGAAATGTTACTGTACACTGCATTCAGGTTCATAAGTTTGTCAGATATCCCTAAGTTTTCTTCTTGAAGTTGCAATGTTAATTTCAGCCTGCCTTTATAATAACCATTGACTGAATATGAGAGGGAAAACAATTTCTTTAAGACCAATGTTTGACCGGCAATTTCAGGTAGAAGTAAAGGTTAGATGGACAAAGAGGGCAGGAAAAATAGGAAGAGAAGAGAGGCTTACAGACTAAAGGAATGGTAACTATACAGATTAGAGGTGGCCTGAGGCTTGCAGTATTTAAACTCACAAGGTTATGGTGGAGAATTAGGCAGGACCATGTGAAAATGCAAAAGATGTGACAAAAACCCCAAATCTTAAAGGAAATTGGAAGCCATTGAAGAACTGTGAGAAAGGAAAGAGACATAATCAGACTGTAATTTTTGTAAATGAGTCTGGCAACACTGAGAATAGAGAGGGGCACACATTTATGGTGGGAGATCAGGTGGGATGAGGCATTGTAGTAACACAGGTTCAGATGATGCAGTTTAGATTATGAGCTGTGAAAAGATGTGGCATAGATTTAGGAGGTGATGGTGAGTCATTGAACACTGAGCTTAAGGTGAAAGTCTGAGTCAAGGATGGCTCCTTCATTTCTGAATTACATTGTTAGTGCTAAAGTAGTTCACAGTTTGCAGGGAGAAATAAAAATGGGAATAATGAAACATTTTGGGGATGCTTAGAAATATAGAATGAGTGATTGGGGTTTATTATCTGATCTGAACTGGAGTTACAAATTTGGGAGTCATCAGCCCATGCAATAAAACATTTATATTTATTTCCAACACAAACAGAAATACCCTTTTCCATAAATGGGTTCCCACTTATATCTTCCTCCATGGAACCAACTAAGTAGTAGGGATGGAAGAACAGGATGAATCCTAAGGGATAACTGACTATTACATTTTTTTACTTATTCTTTTTTTTTTTCTTTTTCATGAGTAATAGTAATAAAGCCAAACAATATGCAGTACAATTTAAAGAAAATTGAATTAAATATAGAGAATTTAAACCGCATGAATCCAGAATGATTTGTATAGAGTAGGCGATCAGTACACATTTGTTGTTTGGCCAAGTCCTACTAAAAGTATTGCTAAATCACTTGCTTATAATTGGATTTGTTTTAAGAAATACACCCATGACCATAAATACTTCTATGCTCCCCTTTAAGAAGAGGAGAGAAAACCCTTCTCATTCCAGAGGCTGAGTTTGGTTACACAAACAGTTCAGTGACCTGGCGTAACTTCAGACCCAATGTTTCAGTCTGTCACTGAGCCTCTGGTGGCCATAGGCCTTCTTGGCCAATATAATTTGGCAAATACAAAGTGTTTTATGACGGAGGCCATGTGGAAAGAATTTGGTAATTTTGCAAAAGATTTTGCCAATGTTTTTAACTACTCACCTTCCCAAATACTCTGCTCCAGGCAAATTAACTTACAAATATCTTATATTTTCCGTGTTTTTTTCCATTCTCCTCTCTAGGGACCAAGGACTTGGCATGAACACCAACCCTAGCAGCCTCATGGGATCACGGCTGAGTCATCCAGAGGGACCAGAAACAGACTTTGAAAAGGAAGGAATTATTGTCAAGGAAGGAACCAAGGGGTAGAACCAGAGGAACAGTGGTAATGTTGGATCCTAGGGTAGAGTGTGAGGCTACAGATGGAAGATGTGGTGGGAAGTTAAGAACTGAGACCAGCAATGGGTCTCTGAGCCCAGCGCATGGATATCAGAAATGGGAAAAAATTATCAAAGGTAGCTGTGAATAAGCAAGGGTGTCTAGAATTTCTTCCGGTGGGGCTGGGAAGGTAGAGGGTGATGTGTAAAGGTGTAGGATCATCTCAGACAGTGGTCCTTTGCTTCACCTCGGCGAGCTCCTTTGAAATGCTATTCTTCCATTTTTTTGTTTTGTTTTGTTTTGGGTACAGGGGATCAAATTCAGAACCTTGCGCTCGAGAGGCAGGCAGCGGCACCACTGAGCTAAATCCCTGGCCCAGCTAAATTCCCTGCCCTGTTTTTTCCGTTTCACTACCTCAACCATTTCTGTTTTCTGTGGATCAGTCTAAGTCCTATTTTTGTGTAATCACTGGTAAAGTATTTAATTGTCCTCAGGAAAATTTGAGTAAAAAGGTATTTCTTACTAAAAATACCAAGTCATTGTAGTGTGTTTGTTTTAGGAGGCAACTTTCTTTTATAAGTGTTAAGCATTTTGCTGTCTTTCCTCAGTAATTATCATCTTTTTTCTTTTGAAAAATTCCTATTAATTTTCTTAGAGGAAATAATTTTCTGAGATGTTTTAGTTATATTTTAAAATTTAATGCATCATGTGTTCATTGCTTATGAACCTACTTGAGGTTAGGGATCACACCTTACTTAGTTTTATATACTTTATAATGGAAATCATAATAATAATAGTTATTACTTATTAAGTGGCCATTACATTCCAGATACTTTACTAATTTCTACTTTTCATAGAAAGTCTTCCAGGTATGGATTTTCTTTTCCATTTTGGGCTTAGAAATTTCAATCTGTTTAGAGATCAAGCCAGTAAATATTGGGGTTGTGATCAAAACTCAGATATAAGTTTTTCCTCTTTGCCAGGCTACCTCAGGATTGTTATTGAGTTGATTAATCTGAATTGTTGGTGACACAGTTTATGGACTTCGTCTCCCAGAACTTCTGTGACCAATTCTAGCAGCAGGCTACACAAGGTAGAGAAGGAGGGGGTTAGGGAGGAGGGGAGCAAACATTTTGTGTCTCTATATTTTACAAGGGAAAAAGCTTTAGTTTCTTTCTCATTTTTATCTGTCTTCTCTGATACCATTATTATTCTTGATCCTTTCCTTTGTTCATAAACACATGTGTATAAAAATTCATTTTTTACATCATACATTAACCCTTCCTCTACCTCCCAGATGTAGTTTTTCTTAAGTAAATGTTTACCCTGACCTATGCTTACACTTTATCTGAAGACTCATTAGGTAACTACCTACATACCAAAGAGTTAATTTGCCCAGAGAAGGCTAATTTGTATGGTCTTCCTCAGAAACACACACACACACACACACACACACACACACATTTCTTGAAAGCAAAAACCAGCAGGTTCCAACAAATTCATTCTTAGAGGTAACCAGGCTAATATTCTGACCTAAAAAGATAGTCTCTATGGAGTCCCCTGAACTCTCAGATTCCATCCTGAGGCTTAAGTTGCTACTTACTGACCTCCACATCCTTCTCTGTGTCCCAGGCAGTGCCATGCCTTATGCCCAATCACTCTCCTGTGGTCACACATTTCCAGATGAACATGGACAGGACTGTAGAAAACCTACTAAAATCAGGTGCTCAGATATAGCCCAGAGATATGTATTTGAACTGTGTATTGAATTACTAATATGTGTTATATGCTTTAAAACCTAGACAAATACATCAATTAATAGTGCTAATCAGATTTGATGGATGCTGCATTAGTCAGATGTATTACTGTGTGCTTGGGGGGATGTTCAGAGACCTGGGGGAGGCCTCAGAGAGACTTACTTTGGGTTAGGGTGGGCTGCTAGCTGATGATCTGGTTCCTTAGCACACATCAGGAAAAAAAGGAAAAACTAAGGAAGCTTGTGAGGAGTGTGATGTCTGACAACTTTGGTGTACTCTCCAAGTGTAATAATTGGTGATCCATCTATGCCAGTGATGTTCCAAATGATAAATCTGTGTTGTCTCATAAAAACTTCACAATAAACTTTTGAAGCTGGTTCTGTTATTCTCATTTGACATTGTAGAAACTGAGGCACATTAAAATTAGGAAATTTGTGAAAATTCACACAGTAAGTACTAGAATTGAGCTCTCTGATAACAGAGCCTATATCCCTAATCACCATGTTGTTTTGCCTCTTAACATGCTCTTTCAAATGATTTGTTGGTTGGAGAACAAAATATATTTATTAGTGTATGTATTTGTGCAGGTCACTCATGTTCTTCACTAATCAGAAGCTTTTGTAATTTAATAGCACTTCACAAGATCCCTTAAAGAGAAAAGGAAAAGGCAGACCTCAAAGGAAAGGGAAATCTTGAAAGGGGGAAGGATGAAGACTGAAAACAATCTTGACTCTGGATTTAGTTACAGAACAGGATACTCTTTTGGGACAGGAAGTGACAAAGGCCACCATCTTTAATTAAAACTAGAAGGACAGTAAGTTTGAAAAAACAAGAACGTGAGACTCAGACAAAAATGTGTTTGATTTATTGGGATCAACATGCCAACTTTTATAAAAGGAAGATAAAAGATCTACCAGGTTCAAACAATTTGTGGTGACATTAACTTCCGGTTCTGAAAACGGCCTTTAAGAACTTATATTCTGGGCTTTATTGTTCACAACGGGCTCAGGTGTGGTACATGGATCCCGGGCAATAATCTCACGTTGGAGGCCTGCATTCCGATGGTTTTTGGGAGCAGATTTGTGAGAAGAGAGTGAAAAGGAAGTAAGAAGGAGGATGTTTATTTTTAATAAAGAGACCCTGCCCTAACTTCCTGAACTAAAACCAGTCTAGACTTGTTTTTTCCATTTTACACAGTGTCTGTAACAACAGAATAAATTTATTAAAACCAAACAAACTGGGGGTTGAGTTTTGGCACAGAAAGTCTGACAGAAATAGAATCAGCTGCTTCTAAGTTGAGTCTAGTGTCTGATCTACAAGCCAGAAGTAGATTAAGGCCGAGTTGGCCTTCACTAAATCAGTTCTTTTTGTTTTGGAGAGACGATACAGAAGTAACGTCTGCCCTAGTGTCCAGGGCATGAATTAGTAAGTCCATTGGTTTTGCCCTTTTTTTTTTTGGTGGTACCAGGGATTGAACTTAGGATGGACGTTGGGCTTGCAAGGCAGGCACGGTGCCACTGAGTTAAATCCCCGGCCCTGCCCTTCTTTTTCTTCAATTTTCAAAGCTCAAAATTTTGGCTAGAAGGAAACCTTGTGGCTATTTTCCCCATCACTTTATTTTGTGTGGAGGAAACTGAGTCTCAGAGGTTTGGATTAAAACAATATATCACTAACTTGCTAAACAGTAACTGTGAGTGGGGAGATTCCATTTTGGTTCCTATGCACTGGACAATGAAGAACAGCTCAGTATGGATTAAGTTCTTTATTAACTGGTAGGCTCTGGGGATTATCCAGCTTCTCCTCTCATTCTTCACCATTTTAGGCTGCCTTCAGGAGTTCTTCGGCATCTAGGCATGAGTGGGTGTGTGCTTGTGGAGTGTGTATTCAGGGGAGTATCGCCTGGGCCAAAGTCAATGTGTATTTTTATATTTCAGAATATTTTCCATTCCTTATCTCATTTTATTCCTACTATATGCTTGTGAGGAGAGAGAAGGTTAATTTTAACTCTATTTCATATGTAAGAAAAATGAGGCACTGTGTTGTTCCCTAGCTGATATACTATTTAGTGGGAAAGTCAGAGTTAGAATCCAAATGGCTTCCCTTTTGTTTCAGTTTTCTTTATAGCAGGCCACATTCTCCCATCAACCCCCTTCATCTATATGAATTAGAGAAGTTGTACAGTAAATGAGTACTGAAAGGGACACATGTGTCTATGTTTATTGTTACCAAAGATGCTTCTAGTTAATTTGTTTTAACATATTGAGCTTATTTTGGGAAGATATGTGGCTCTCAGAAATACAACAGCTCCTTCTTTTCTAGACCCTGTTATTTTAAAATGTAACTCTACATGCTAAAGAGAGAGATTCTTTTCCCAGGTCTTTTTGCGATGAAAAAGGACTGAGGTATATGCCAAAGAATAAAACTAGAGCCCTGTCTCTCACCAGACGTAAATATCAAACCTAAATGTACCAGATTTAAGTGTAAGACCTTAAACTATGAAACCTTTAGAAAAAACATAGGGGAAATGCTTCAGGACATTGGCCTGGGAAATATTTTTTTGAATATGATCATAAAAGCCTAAGGCAACAAAGCCAAAATTGATAAATGGAGTTATATCAAACTAAACACTTCTGTACCATAAATGAAACAATAAACAGAGCAAGAGTCCACAGATAAAGAACTTTCAAAGTATATATGTGAAAAAGGGTTGACATCCAGAATTTCTAAGGAACTCAAACAACTCAATAGCAAAAAACTCAAATAATCCTTTTGTTTTTAGTACCAGGGATTGAAGTCAGGACCTTTTACTTGCCAGGCAGGTGCGGCACCACTGAGCTACATCCCCAGGGCCCTCAAATAATCCAATTTAAAAATGGGTTAAAGATCTGAACAGACATTTCTTAAAAGAAGAAATACAAATAGTCAACAGATATACGAAAAATACTCATATTACTAACCATTGGGAAAATGCAAATTAAAACCACAAGATACCCTCGCACCCCAATTAGAATGGTTATTATATAGATTTAAAAAACCCAAAAAGCAGAAAAGGGGAACTGTCAAACGCTGTTGGTGGGAATATAAATTAGTGCAGCCATTATGGGAAATTATTTACAGGTTCCTCAAAGACTAACAATAAAATTACTGTATGATCCAGCAATCTCACTCCTGGGTATGTATGGTAAGGAAAGGAAACTCTGTGTCAGAGATACCTACACTCCCTTATTCACGGGGCACTGTTTACAGTAGCCAGCATATAGAATCAATCTAAATGTCCATCAGCAGATGAATGGATAAAGAACATACATATATGCACAATGGAATATTATTCAGTCATAAAGTGGATGGGATCCTGTCATTTGTGACATCACAGGTGGACCCGGAGGACCTGATGTTAAGTAGAATGAAGCAGATTTAGAAAGACAACACTTCAACATGCCACTCGTATGTGGAATGTAAAAAAGGTGATCTCATAGAACTTGAGAAGAGTGTTTACCAGAAACTGAGGCAAGTAGCAGGAGGAGGGAAGGGGAAGGGGAGGCAGAGAGGTTGGTCAGTGGGTACTACCCTACAGCTAAGTAGGAGCGAGAAGTTCTGGTGTTCTATGCACAGTAGGGCGAATATAGTTAATGCATTATATATTTCAAAAAAGCTGTAATATAGGGTTTTGGATGTACTCTCCCTAAAGAAATGATCTAAATTTAAGGTGCTAGATATGCTAGTTACCCTGATGTGATTATTATCCAATGTACCCATGAATCAAAAATCACACTGAGGGCTGGGGATGCAGCTCAGTGGTAAATTACTTGCCTTGCATCACAAAGCCCTGGGTTCTATCCCTGTTATTCCCCCATCACATTGTATCTCATTAATATGTACAATTATTTTCTCAATGAAAAAGCACTCCGTCTCTGACTCTTCTGATGCATGCTTTATTGAGATAGATTATAAAAGTCTAGATGTCCTAAATAAACAAAGCTTCATGATCTTCAAGTGCTAGGCAGAGAAATAACTGGTGAAGGCAATACTGCTGGGAAAAATGATTATTCTTAGGAGATTTCTCTAGTCCCTTGAAATTTCTTCCTTTTCATCCAACTGTAACCACTTTGGTCTAATCTTAGAGGCTCAATCTCTCTATAGAAAAAAATAATGAAACTCTGTTATCTTGAAGGATTTTTGCATATCTGTTGATTTAAGGGGTGTGTTCCTTCCAGTAACACGGTCAGGAATTTGTAAAGGACCATGAAAAATTAATATCAGCTCCACAAATGAAAAACAAAACAGCCTTTGCTGTGGTTTGGGTTCTATTCTGGTTTTGGTGACTAAGAACTGTAACTAATGTTGGGCTCCTTCCAAATATGTCCTTTTTGATAGTTATCACAGCTTTCCTCATTCATTTATTAGTTACCTAATGACAATGTGCTTTTAAGTTAGTCCTAAAATTTCTATCTCTGCTTCTAAGTTGAAAACATTTTACTTAAAGCAGGACATTTTGAGCACCATTGGAAAATGTGTTTTGTGACTTGAGCTATTTGAAAATGGCTATGCTAAGATACCAAGTTGTAATTAGAATCACACAGTTTGGGAAACATTGAATTCTCCCTAAAAAAGCTTGGAAGAACTTGAATATTCTGTAATTTGGCAAATTGGAAAATAAGAAGACAGAAGAACTAGAGGGTCATAAGCCAATGATAGTTCTTAAACCATAGCCTTAGTAAACAGTCATCTTAACAGTTGGTCTGGTTGCAAAATTATATCCATGCTTACCCTTACTTGCTGTCATTCTTTTCCAAATACAAGTGGGGCAAAACAGAGCAATGGTTCTCTGACCCTTTGACTCTCGCCTTACAAGTCAACATCACATTATTGGTCACTACCATTCTTGAGTTTCACAATCATGTAAATACCTTACCACAAACCACGCTGCTCTTCCATGTACACCTAATATTTCCACTTGTTGGCTCACTTAGCCTCTTTCCTCTTGTAGCTCTGGTATACTATTAGTGGCATTAAGGGAAAAAAAAAACCATGAGGAGTGAATAGAATGAGTCAATGCAAGAGAGACTGCAGGTCTGAGGAATTAGATCATGGGTAATTATTTCTCATTCCCACTCTGGTATGTTTCTCATAGTGTGGAAGAGGGAAAGATACATGGGTTGCAAAGGCATACCCTTTGGGACCAGTATGATTCTGGTGAACATGGTGTAAAGGGTAGAGATTGCAGGAGAAGGCCAGAAATTTCAATGGTCTGTTCAATGTGTATCTATTTCCCTCCAGAAACTTCCTTTTATGCTTAGCCCTGATATTACCACTCAACTTGCCTGAACCTTTGCTCTATGTGGAGTGACACCCTAGGAAGGGGTGGAGATGGAGGAAGAAGTAGGGATAGTCCACAAGTATGTGGGGAAGTAGGAAGGAATGCAGCACAGAGTGGGTAATTATTAGCAAGAAGTAGGACCCGCTCAAGGTGGCGAGGAGCAAGATGTGGAGACAGGAAGGTAAGGCACTGGTAAATCTGGACGTATAGGGAAGAGAGATTTAACCAAAAATATGATAGGCTCCAAGACATTTAATTACTATAAATAAGCATTATGCCCACATTTAGAATTAAATCTAAGATCAGTTTTTGTTAACTTACAATTTTCTGTTTAAATCTTTTCTTTCTCTTCATTAAGGATATGTTATCATCATCAAAATATTTGAATATGTAAATATATGAGAAATTCAAGCCATTCCTCAAATTCCCAGTGAACTTCATATTGGTACCACACTGGGGAATCAGATGCCTGGGAAGGTAAGAGAGTGAAGTCAACATTATGTTTTCTGGGATTTTATCTTTTTCCTGTGGTAGGTCATCAATAAATGCTTGATGAAGAAATAAATGAGCATGAGAACAAATATTCTTGTATTGCCCTTGGAAAACTGCTCTAAACCCTTTCATAAGGACAATAGAGATATTTGTTCGCCTCCAACCTCAACTCCGGTGAGGCTGCTCTTTTTTTTTTTTTTTTTTCCTAAAATACCCTCATCCTTTCCTTATTCTTTTGCAATGCATTTTTCCTATGGGTTGTCCTCATCAAAAGATCAATGCTGAAGTTTGTTCCCAGCCGCCGTGCCATTGCTCTCTAACACCAGAGCTGCCTCTAGCTCACCGAGCTCCAGCCGAAGGAGAAGGGGGTAAGGAGGCCCCTGTACCATGGCTCGTACAAAGCACACCGCCCACAAATCCACTGGTGGTAAAGCGCCCAGGAAACAACTGGCTACAAAAGCTGCTCTTAAGAGTGCGCCCTCTACTGGAGGGGTGAAGAAACCTCATTGTTACAGGCTGGCTACTGTGGCACTCCGTGAAATTAGACGTTATCAGAAGTCCACTGAACTTCTGATTCTCAAACTCCCTTTCCAGCTTCTGGTGAGAGAAATTGCTCAGGACTTCAAAACAGATCTGCGCTTTCAGAGTGCAGCTATTGGTGCTTTGCAGGAGGCAACTGAGGCCTATCTGGTTGGCCTATTTGAAGATACCAGCCTGTGTGCCATCCATGCCAAACGTGTAACAATTATGCCAAAAGATATCCAGCTAGCACACTGCATACGTGGAGAACATGCTTAAGAGTCCATTATGGTGGGAAGCATTTCATTCTCAAAAAAATTTTTTTCTCTTCTTCCTGTTATTGGTAGTTCTGAATGTTAGATTTTTTTTTCCCCATGGGATCAAAAGGTACCTAAGTACATGATTGCGAGTAAAATAGGAAAATAGGGGACAGAATCAGGTATTGGAAGTTTTTCCATTTTCATTTGTGTGTGAATTTTTAATATTAATGTTGGGATGTAAAGCATTAATGCAAGTCAAAATATTTCAGTGAACAAGTTTCAGCAGTTCAACTTTGTAACAATTCTAAATAAACCTGTTAATTTTTCTTGACAATGCTAGGATTTGGATTTTTTAAAAACAAATAAATTTCTTATTGTCAACTAAATGTTGTTTGTAGCTGGACAATGCTAGGATTTGGATTTTTTAAAAACAAGTAAATTTCTTATTGATGCCAACTAAATGGTGTTTGTAGCATTTTTACCATACAGTGGATTCCATCTAGTCACTATACTTTTCTGAGTTGTCTTACATGCTAGTACATGTTTTTAATTATTTATTTATTTTTTGTACCGGGGATCAAACATGGGACCTTGTGCTTTCGAGGCAGGCACCGGAACCACTGAGTTAAATCCCCTGCTGCTAGTACATGTTTTTAATGTTGTCTGTCTTTCTGTGCTGTTCCTGTAAGTTTGTTATTAAAGTACATTAAACTGTAAAAAAAAAAAAAAAAAAGATCAATGCTCAGTATAAAAGCCCAGCCCCAATTCTCCGATTTGGCACAATTTGGATATCTCAGCACCAGCACCCCAATGGGATAATCTGAGCCATGACTGGCTGACATAGCCCAACTTCTGCCCTATCCGACTTCCTTTATTTCTCACAGGTCCCATGAGTACTCTTCAACAAACGTCCTGCCAGGGAATTTAGCCTCATCATCCTCTTCCTGGGAAACACCACCTGTTTGTTATTTTTAAAATCCTTAGTTTACCACAGCTTGAATTATGTTAGATATAGTCTAGGTTTTATTCCTTAAGCCTAGGTTAATGCTGTTTCACCATATTCAGACCAGGAGGCCTAATGTGGAAATTGAACCTGCTGTTAAGACTTAGTGCAATGATTTAAACAGTTCAGTTCCACACACCTTTTTATATCGTGGGGAAGTAGCTTGCCCTTCACTTTTCTCTTACCCACTCTCTAACATGACTCAGCTTTTAAGCCCACAGAAACAGCGGCCTGTGGTTCCAGGACAGGAAGAAAAGAATGACCTAACTTGGAGATAATTTGAAGGAAGGTGAATCTCTTTCAGATATACAGGGATGTGATTTTAAAATTTATTTCTTGGGTTTCTAAAGTATCAAAACTCAAAATATTTTGGTGTCTAACTTCTTCCTTTTCTATTCTCTGTGTCTTTCCACGTAAAGGTTCCACCATCAGGAGCCACAGTCAGATCCATCCCACTTCTTGTCTTATTTTTCTTAGCTTAGAAAACAAGATACTTTTAGAAAGGTGAAATAAATAGGACTGGCTTCGAATTCAATGGTGAAGTAAGGTTTGTTCACGGTGAGCTTCTCCCCTTTTGGGGTGGACTTACCATGGTGGCTCCTCCAGCCCCAACTCTGGGGCCTCCTCAGTCCACTCTCCTCAGCAGCTTATCTCGTCTTCTTTGTCTGCTTTTCTCTGTCATGCTGCCTCAATCCGTGACCCAGAATTAGCCTGGTCACTTCAGCTTTCCACTGCAAATGACGGCTCTGCTTTTCAGCTCATGGGCCATGCCAAGTTTTCTCTCTCAGGAGGCAACACTGCTTGGCACTCATAGTTTGTTAATAAGTGCTTAGATGAATGAGTATATGAACACATAAGTGCTTTTTCATAATACACCACTTAGAGCCTATCCTACCCTCTCTATACCCGAAGTGTATGTATTAACAGGGGCCTGAGGAGGGCAGACTCCTTTGCAGCAGGACCCAGCCAGGTGAGTCTGCAAAGGGAACCTATTGTAAGTAGGTGTTAGCATCCTGTGTGTCTGATGCTTTGACATCCAGTTTCCAGAGGTAGTAAACAACTCACTATCTGTTAGCACATCTTGTATATGTACACCAGCCGTAGCCCAACTTCCTCCCTCGCTGGACTCTTACAGGGTTCTCACATCCTGGGCCACCTGCCCTGATCACTCCAGGCCAGATTTCAGGAAACTAAAGACAGCACCTGTGCCTGAGACCCTAAAGAATTATTCAAAGCAGCCAGTCCTAAACTTGCTATCCTGCCTTGCCCATTCTTTCCCATGGAAACCACAGTGAAGACACTTGTCAGCATTGCATTTCCCACTACTCCAGCTGCCTCCTGGCTGGTCCTGGGGCTTCCCACTTGACCTTGTGTGGCCTGGCTTCCTCCTTCCTCTAGAGAACTAGATGACAAATGATCTTGTCAATGGAATTGTTTCCTGACATCTTGGCCTCATTATCCAAGTAACAATCAAAGCTACATTTTAAGACAGTTAGCTCAATTACTTCTCCAGGCTAGCTGTGAGGCCCCTGTGTTAATTCATTTGAGAAAGGCCCTGAAAGAGGCCTATCCTTTTCCCTAAGTTCTGACAACTGCATAAAAGACAATTACACAGAGAAGGCAATGTTATATTATTTTTTAAAAGTAATAATGAAACTACTTAATATGTATCACTACCTGGTTATTTCAAACAGTCTTATGAATTATTGTACTTGTATTTGAACTGAAATTCAAAGATAGAAAGTGCTGTTCTCAAGGTCTTTGAGCCATATACATGTAAGAAGTAAGACTCAAACCCAAACTTTACTGTCATCCCTTTGAGTCCTACCCTGGTTACATGCCTATCATAGTCTTTCAAATCTTCCAACATCTTTTCCTGGTTTTTTCTTAAATTTTTATAACAGGACCACTTTCTTCGTACTTGAAAGAAAAGGGAAGGCAGCCTTGCCAATGGGAACCAATGAACAATGCCATGATGAAAAATAGAAGAGATGTCTTGAAATATCCCAACAATAGTAGGCCTTGGAGTGGGGACACTTCCAGTAAAATAACTGACAAATTAACCCAGTATTGAACAAAACATAGTTCATGGATACTACTAAAGTTTGGAGTCCTACTACTGTAAGCAAAACAGAGGAAAAGTGGGAAAGAGGGAGATGAGGAAAACAAGTGAGTCAAGAGATTTAGTAATACACTTAATACATGATGAGAATGGAGGAAAGACTGGATTAAGGACTTAAGAGCAGTCAGCAAGTTGTTGAAGATGCCCTTTGGGGATGGTGACTGGCAGCTGCCAGGAATTTCCAGGGAAGGAAGAAGAAACAGCTTGCAGGGCTGGAGGACCTCAGCTGGGTATTAGGAGCAACTCCCGACTGTCTGTCAAGGACTCCGGTTTATAGGACCACAGGGAGCCTTCTGGGATGCGCCTGTCCTAGGAATATATTTTGGCTGTTGGGATGACTTTATGCAGCCCTGGGATGGACCAGATGACCCCTGGGCTCCTCGGCTGGCACAGTACCGGAGGCATGCCACACTCTGCTGCTTTGACAGCCCATTGGCAGCAGCCGATTCCCCGCCCAGGGCTGTGGCATTTTCCCCAAGGAAAGGAACAACCAAGCCTTTCACTCTCTGTTCCTCACTTGGCCTGGCCCTGAGGTGCACATCTGTGGTTTCTCAGCTCTTTGGCACTTAGGCACTTTCCTTCAGAGCCAAGGGACGCCTGGGAACAAGGTAGCGTCTGTGTGTGGACAGTAAGAGCTTGTGAGCCAGAGATTCTCAGCCAAACTCTCTCTGCATCCCACACGAGTTGGATTGCACACCTCACTTGCAACAGTCCATGCTTCAGTCAGCCCAAGGCTGCCCCAGCGCCGGGTACCGTCCCACCCCCCATACCCCAAACTTTTATGCAATTGATTTCCTAGCTTCTTGGCCACATTTGCGCCAATCCCCACACAGCTGGTTCCCACCCACCACCCATCCCACCCACAGAGTGAACAGGAACACATCAGCGGCTTATGCCGATCCTGAGCAGGGAGTACTGAGGACGAGGTGCACACAGCTCACTTAGGCAGCTGGATATTTACAAAAGGTCTGGCCCGCAAAGAGATGCCAGGCTTTTCCTATAACATTGTGGACTTCTATTTATTGTGTGGGTTGTCGATTTACATGGGGAATTGGAAATGCTTAACAAGCATACAGATTTTACACGGTCAGTCTGTTTCTGCCAAGTTAAGAAAGTTGGAGACATCGTTTAATTTCTGGTGAAAGAAACAATTTCAGAAAGCTGTTTAAAGCCACCTTTCTGTTCTTGACCCTGAGTCAGAGAAGGATCTGTGCTTATGAAGGAAGGTAGAGTTTCTGTCCTTAGATAACCCCAAACAAGCACAAGCTACGTTGTATAAAGCACATACAGTCCACCCACAAACTCATCATTAAGGACACATCAGAACCATCTCTCTCTAGGAATGCCTCTCCTCCATAGAGTTTTCAAAGTCCACATCCAAAAAGGAAGACTGCACAGTATGAATGCACAATAGGAAGAGTATAGAAAATTGCAAAACAAAAACAATGAAATTTTAAGGAACAAAATATCTCTGTCCCTCCCTCCCTCCCTCCCTCTCCTCTGCGTGTGTGGTTGGAAGGCCTGGTGATCCTCTTTGTTTAGTATCTCTGAGGCTTGAATTTTCCCTTTTTTGTTGGTACTGGGGATCGAACTCAGGTCCTAGCACTTGCGCAGCAGGCGACGAAACCACTGAGCTAAATGCCCGGCCTGAATTTCCCCTTTTTTATTCAACATAAAGCAGATATGCAGTAATAAGCTGAAACATCAAGGAGAAGTCAGAGTTCCTCCTTTGGAGTTTTTTCTTCTGATTTGTGATTTTCTTCCTGGAAAACAAAATAACACTGATAGTGAGATTTGGAATCCATTTTTGTTTTTAAACTTATAAAACTGAACCATGTGATTTCTCCTGGAAGTCCTAAATTCATCTTCAATTTTTATTGCATGAACTCTTTTATATGGGATTTGATTTGTTTCCCATTATATCTTGAACCAAATGGCAAAATCTTAATCCAGTTCCTTTGAGTAGCCAAGATGTTAAGATTTAGATTTAGAACATCCACGAAAGTTTCTTGCATCTGGAGGTGGGTTTTTGGATTGTGGGGTGGTGACTGGATTCTCATCAGTGGATTAACCGATTGATAAGTGCAGGGCTGAATGTGTTGTAAGGAGGTGGGATGCAGCTGGAGGTTTGCCACTGCGGATGTGACCTAAAAGGGTGTGTGTGTTCTTGGCCCAAGCTCTGCCCTTCTCTTTCTGCTTTCTGGCTGTCATGGGTTGAGCAGCTGCTTCCTTCCACTGTGTGCTCTCACCATGCTACTCTGTTCGGGAATGAACCAGCCGCAGAGTGAAGGCTGTGAAAACCATTAGCCAAACTAAACCTCCTGTCCTCTAGGCTGTGGACGTCAGGTATTGTGTCTCATCAACAAGAAAGTGACTAAGACACAAGACTTTTCCAGAAATGATTTTCTAGCTCTGTTCTCATAACCATATGTTCACACGCATCTTGACCCTGACTACCATATCCTCATATCCTTGTGCTATTAATCAAATTCAGTAGAGCCCAAAGAACTATTTAACAAGAAATTAAAGAGGCAGAGAGAGGAGCAAAAGGCAACTTGTTTTTCTTGTATTCTCACACTTACCAACAGTTTCCCTTTCAGGAATCCATCACAAAAGTTTTGCACCCGTTCTACTGTAACTTCCGCTATGGGCAGCGCTTCCCACTTGTCGTCCAGAGTTCGGTAAATAGCCAAAGCTGGCAGCTGAGACATCTTTAGTTTGAAATACGATATCACATTTCTGTTTTCCTTTACCCCGCTGTCCACCAGAACAAAAAGAATCTGCATTTGGAGAAGTTTGAAAGCCAAAGATTTAGCTGAGGTCCTGGGGATAAAGAGCTACCTTGTAATTGTTGCAGTTTCCACTGACTGAATTTATGGTCTCTGCCTCATAATTTAAATGTCAATTTTGTTAAAATAAAGCTTTTTATTATTTGGCATTGGCTTTGGTACTCCTTTTGGTCAGATTTATTTAATTTTAAGAACTTAGAATTTAGTGATTATCTAAGAGAGGAAGTATAGCCTAATGGTTAAAAGCAGAGAACTATAGAAGTTTTACATTGTATTTCTGGAACTTTCAAGCTGTGTGACTGTGGCCATGTTACTCAGCCTCTCTGAATGTCAGTTTTTTCATTAGCAAATAGACTTTTTCTGAGGCAGATTAAATGAGGTATGCACTTAATAATTTTAGTATAGTTTATACATATAGTAAAAGTTTAATAAGTGTTAACTATTTCACAGGTATGTTTCAAGATCTTGAGATAGACAGTAGTGACATGTATGATATGTATTTGATATTATTTATGATATATATGCATGTTTATGATATATCTATTATATATGTTTCTTTGTTTCTATGCATACATACTTACATTGTAATCAAAAGAGCAATTATAATAACATACTGTAATAAATGTTATTTAATATTTATGGATTATTTCTAGAATTTTCTGTTTAATATTTTCAGATCATTGTTGATCACAAATAACTGAAACCATAGGATCTATGGGTAAAGGGGGACTACTGTATGTTATTAAGTCAAAAGTTCTATCCCCAGTAGAAATCTTTATAATATTCTAGGCAGAGGATTATGTCCACGCAATAGTACTGAATACTTTGAGTGTTGAAAACCAATCTTCAAAAAAGGCAGCTTATTTTACGATCAGATTGCTCTCATCAGTAGAAAGTTTATATTTCAATGCACCAGACACGACGTTGTTGAAGTTTTGCTGTTTCAGGAACAGAAAACAAAACTTTGCAAAGGAGAGAAGGGAAAAGAATAAATATTCATTGCATATCTGGTAGGCACCAGGTACTCGATAGGTGTTTATATGAGAAATAAACCCTGACATATGTTCCAAACGACAAGATATCATGGCAAGGAGTGAACAAATCATGAGCAATAGGTGATCTTATTTTCAGTATCCTCGTGTCTTTATTTTCTTATTACCTATCAACACAGAAAAAAATAATAGTCAACCAACATGGGAAGATTTTATATAGGCCTTCAGTAGCACAAAACACAACATTTTTAATTTCAAAAAATATGACTTGTTCTGTCCAGTTCTTTCTTTGTTATCTCATGACCATACTTGATTCTTCACTTATCTCTTCCCTGGCTCCACTTTCTTCCTAGTACCCAGGTCTTATGAACTGAATAAACCCCTCCCATTCCCAGCTCACCTTTCTGAGGAAGAGTTTGGCTGCCTCCCGGTAAAGACGCATGCTCTCCTTATACTCTGGGGAAGCCTTGTTCATCATCAGAAGAAGGTGAATCTCAACCATGGCATTAAATAGGCCATACACAGTCTGGTAAATTGAAATGTGTTATAGTGGAGTCAGGAGGAAAGAGGGAAGTACAAAGAGAGAGAGGGTAGAGAGGGAGAGGGAGAGACAGAGAAAGAGAGACAGACAGAGAGAGACAGAGAAAGAGAGAGAGAGAGAGAGAGAGAGAGACAGAGAGAGAGAGAGAGAGGAAGAGAGAGAGAGAATGTGAGTGATAATCTAACAAATAGACTGAAGCAGACCACAGCAACACAAAATGGAACTAGCCTCTGAGAAGGCTGTCAAAGTTTCCTCATCTGGTTTTCATGCACAGGTATAGATCTGTTGTTTACACACACATTTTATAGAGCTGGACTGAGTATCCAAGAGGGTATTATAGAACTGGTAGGGTATGACTTCCAAGGTTAAATGAGTCCCTCACTCTGGGGAAAGTCAGCCCCAGTGTAGGGCTATCAAGCAGGGCTATGAACAGTTCACATGGCCACAGCTACACCAACCTCCCAGCCACATGAGTGAGCATTCTTGGCAGCAGATCCTCCGGTTCCTGCAGCCCTGACCAATGGCTGCAGCCTCTCTAGAGATGCTAGACCAGAAACATCCAGCCAGACCACTCCCAGATGGTCCACCCATAGATGCTGCATGAGATAGTCAATGTTTACTATTTTAAGCTGCTAACTTTTGGAACAATCTGTTACATAGCAATAGATAATGCATATACCATGAAACATATGAGTCATTTTTTCAACTCTTTATGTTGCAAGACTAGTCAGAGAGAGACACTTAAAATGTGGCCTTTGACTACATATGATTCTAGCATACTTGTTGAGTGTTTATTACATGCAAAGCACTGTTTCTGGCTATATATATTCAATAGTGAATCGAACCCTCAAGGTTCTGGTTTTTCAAAGGAGGAAATTGAGGCACAGATAGAATGTGACTATCACAGTTACATAAATGGTGGACTAGGTAGTCAGGTGCCAGAATCCAAGCTCTTGATCACAAATAGGGTGTCTGGTGTGACTGATGTCAATCCTGGATGTGCTGATACAGTCTACCTCAGCTCAGCAGGAAGGTGAGCTCTTCAGGAAACCAGAGCCCTGTTCCCTCTTTGCTAATGAGAGCTGGGACTCGCTGTGCAGTTGACACCAATTTAGAATTGTGGGATAGCCACAAGCCAGAGAAAAGGGAGGAGAGAAAAGGTGAAACTATGGCACTGGTCCCCTCCCATTCACTTTCATGAAACTATGCTGCAAATCTATTGTAAGAAAATCCCATTACTTTCAATCTCTCCTTCTGAATACAGAAAGCACACTGTACAATCTGTATGTACACAGGAAGGGAGAATATGGTGGATATTGACCACTGGCTCCCAGAGAGCATTTCTAAGCTAATGCATATCACTAGGCTTTCAGGAGAGTGAGGCTGGAAGTAGCTGGGTAGGGTTCTCCCTGAAGCCATGTGCTATTCTGCAGAGATTTGACAGCCCCACTGGCTTTGTGGAACCATGATGCAGACAAAGAAGGCCCAATGGGTCTTTCCCTAAGTATGTCTCCTAAAAGTTTAAGATTTTTCATTTTGGAGACTGGATAATTGACTTGTGTTGTACTAGATCCTGCTACTTAGAGTGTTCCTCTAAGCTCCTAAAACAGAGATGGAACATAATTCTTAGGAAGAGTCAAGAGATAAAAACTAAGAGGTGAAGAGGTGCCTTAGCAGAGTTGCCTTAGCAGAAGGGATCAAATAGCAGATTAGTTTAATCCTGATAGATCCAGCCGGATTTTTCATCTTGAAGCCAAGTCTTGAGTGCGTACACTGAAAGTTCGTGGCAGGCCAAGTGCATAGTTGTGATTTTCTGCAAACCTCTGCACCAGCAGCAGATGAGAAATAGCTGTAGCAGAATGGATCACTATCCAAATGAGAAAACTATTACTCCTAAAAAACTAAATTCACAATAAAAGTTAAACTTACTTCTCTAAAGAAATTGTTACCTAATTGCCTCTTGATATGATTTACCATCACTATTAATGTGAAACTTTATAGAGCTACATTGTTGTTGTGTAAGATGACAGCTGGACCAAGACAAAGAGCTCAGGAGGGTCCTTGCCCTGTCTCTGTGGCCTGTAGGATCCCAGTATAGGAGGACCGGTTACCCCGGGACAATAAAATCTTTTCTGGGTTCACTGCACTCTGGACAGCTCAGGAGACACAGTGACCAGAATGACAATGGTCTAGGCAAAGAATGCTGCCTTGATTATTGCTGCCAGGATGGTGGGTTTGTGCATGTGTGTGTATGTGCATGTGTGTATGCATGTGTGTGTGTGTGTGTGTGAGAGAGAGAGAGAGAGATAGAGAGAGAGATCTGATCAAAGTGTAAATGAAGCTACCACTCTACAGAGATTAAAAAAATGGTCTAAGAAATGGACAGGAATTTAGTGAACAGGAAAAGGTGTGTTTTCTTTCTTCAGTTGAAAGCTGTATGAAGTATAGAAAAAGCAGAGCAAGCAGGAGAAAGTGCAGAGGCTATCTCTGAAGCCCAAATTGCTAGCCATGCTGCCTTGGGAAAGTTCCTGAGCTTTTCTGAACTCCCATTTCCTCTACTGTGAAATGCAAATAGACAAGATAGGCTAACTGTCATCAGCCTAATGTTGTGCTTCAAATTATGCTTTTTCTGTTTTCTCAATACGTGACCTTGAATGATGTCACTGGGGCCTTGAATGTTTTCTATAAAATGGGCATAATAATTTCCTCTCTGCAATCTAAAACACATCAGTGTGAGGGTTAAATGAGAAATGAATATCAAAAGGCTTTGTACGTTCTGAAAACAAGTGCCATGCATGTTCAGTACTTTTATCAGAGGATGCACAGTATTGCTGAGCTTCACTAGAAATTGATACACCATCACTCTATGCTCATGCACAGGAAAATAAAAGGCAGAATTAGAAGTTTATTCTATAAGTTATAGAGTATTAGAAAGCTAGAGACAACCTGGACAGGTGGACCAACACCTTCGCCCATATCCCATAGCGTGCAACAACAGAGAAAGACAGACCTGGACCAAAGACTGAGGTACCATGAAGGTTTAGGCACATGCTAGTCAAGGAGTGGCCTGCACATGGTGTTACTGGTCCAGAAGGTGATATACTCAGAAAACAAGAATAGATGTTTAGAAACTTTTGTAGAAAATGTACAAAGCTGTGACATACTAATATGTGATAAGTGGGTTTTATGTTTTTAATTTCATTTGTGTAGCAATTTACTTTTATTGTATTTTGTAAAAGTATTAGTCACTGAAGCTTGGCGGGGAGAGTGGGCCTTTAATACTGATTGCAATCTAGTTTGAGAAATGGTTTAGAGCTGCTCAGGCCAAGGTGGCTTTTCCTGAGCAGTTCCAGGAAGGAAATTAAGAATCGGTCCCCTTCACTTTGCATTTTGACTCGGTTTCTTGTTGTGTGGCAGGTCATTTAACTGCTTGACTGTTTCTTTGTTGAGTAGTTACAAGCCCACCAATCTTGAAGGGCTGTAGTAAGAAAGGTAATGTAAAGAGCATACTAGGTTTCAATGAAGACAGTTACTATCACTTATCACAGGACCAGTGTCTGGGAGGAGAGGATCTCTACTATGAAGATAAGTACCCTCCCTGACATATGGAATTCAGGGGCTGGCACCAGGGACTACTGTTTACCATGGAGTTGTACTCGGTCACCAAGCGGAGGCTGTGGATCGTAATGAAACGGCTTAATTTGGTAGCATCCATGCTTTCAATCTCTTCGCCTTCTAACTTCAGCTGTTCATTATCCACCTAGTAACACACAAAAGGATAAAATTGCCATTGTTTGTTTTTTTCAATAATTGACAAATGTTGTTAGCTCATCATGTGTGACAGGAACTGGGAAAAGCTCCAAAGAGAGAAAAGTAAATGAAGAATATTCCCTGCCCTTGAGGGGATTTGTCTTTTAGGGATTATTTTTATGTAATACAATTACTAATATATTGAATTATGCATTTTTCCATTGGGTTCTGCCTGTTTCAAATTTGTTTTCTGCATTTCTGGCCCACTTTTGAATTGGCTGAGTACTTTATATCATTCCTCTTTCCCCTACCTTTTTGTCTGAGAAAGTTACACAAGCTTTAATTATTTCCTTATGGATTACTGGCATGTGTTATATAATATATATTTTTCAGAATCTAATATTAATTGACAATTTCACTCTCCTTTTGGACATTAGGAAATTCAAATACAGTTTGTTTTCTTCTAACTCTATTCCTTATTCTTACAGGTGATTATTATTTTTTTCCTTTATTTCTAAATCTTACAAGACATTATTATTATTGCTCTATAGTTAGCTTACACTTTCATTTATGAACATATTGACATTTTAGCTTCTACTTGGGATTATTTTTTTCTCACCGTGTGGAGAGCATCTTTCATTATTTCCTTTAGTATGAATTAGCTCTGTTAAATGACAAGTTTTCTCAGTTTGGTTGAGATATTTCAACTTTAGTTTTAAAGGTTGTTTTTGCTGATGATAGAATGCTAAGTTGGCTATTTTCTTTCAGAGTATGAAAGACATAATGATTTTTGTTCTGCATTCTAGTGTTTTTATTGAGAGGTCAGCTGTGACCCTTATTGCTGTCCCTTTGTGGTTACTTTGAAGGTAATTGTCTCTTTTCTTTGACTTCCTTTAAGGTTTGTTCTTCTTTTGATTTCCAGGCAATATAGTAGGACATGGCTAGGCATGGATCATACATATCACATATGCATATGTAGTTGTATACGTGTAGGTATGTGCTTACTTTTTCATGATCACCGTACTCCAAAGCCTGAAATTTGCACTGTGTTGCAGCTCTTGTCTTTGGGTTTCATCCCTGTCTTTAGGTATAGCTACTTAGGACCCAGAGGTGGCATGAAAGGTATTTTACTGGATTTAGGTTTTAGAACAACCTTTCCATCACACTCAGTGCCATAGCCTGGATCTGGATCAGTCCCAAAGGCCTGTGTGTTGAAGGTTTGGTTGTCAGCCTGCAGGACTATTGGGAGATGGTGGGACTTCAGGAAGTGAGGCCTTGTAGAAGGAAGCTGGGCCACTGGAGATGTGGCCTTGAGGGGATATTGGCATCTTCTAACCATTTTTCTCTTCCCTTTCCAGCTGCCATGAGGTGAGCAGCTTTGCTACACCATGCATGCCCTGCCATAGTGTATTGCTTTGCTATAGGCCCCAAAGCAACAGACCAACTGTCCATGGACTGAACCATCTGAAGCCTCTTTTGTATTCATTATCTCAGGTATTTTGTCACAGAAAATTGACTAATACACTCTGATATGTTAAAAGATAGAGCCTCATAATCTCAATCATTCTTGAGGAAGCCATTCCCCTCTCTCATTTTAGGCATGCTCACAAAGATAAGATACAGCCTTATCACCCATTGCAACTGTTCCTACAGATAAAATCATTGAGGCTAACTCCTGAACAGTTTTGAGATCCTTGGACACCTCCTTAACCCATTCCCCTCTCCTTTGCAGTGTCTCATAGGCTTGACCCAATCAACTCTTGCCTTGGATCAGAATCACAGTTTTATCCCAAGAAACTTCCCCCGGTAGACCCAGAAAGTTAGAGGTAAAGCTCATTTTAGTTTGTGTAGGAGAGAATTCTGGCCAAGGGAAATCCGAGTCACTAAGCAGTAAGAATCTGAGATTGCTCCTTAGTTATCCCACGATGACCCCTACTATCTATTTTTCACTTCTTTTCTTCAAGATGGCCTTCTGTTGGGTTAATAAAAGGCAATATGAACATCTGAAAAGCTCAATGTACTCCTTGTGGTTAATTTTATTAATTCTAGATAAATCGAGTCTTTCTCTCATGATCCATTTGTTTAAGAATTATTTGTTGAGCGTCTACTGTATTTTCGGCACTGAGACACAGAAGTGCTGACCTTTCCTTACACGACAATTTAAGTGCTCTTTATTTTAGGACTCTTTTACCCAATTTAAATTTATGAAATAAATGCCGAGGCACAGAAAATATTTGTATTTCTAAAACAGAATTTTGAAGAAAAGAATCATGCAAACCACAGAATATTTTAAAATGTGAAATCCCTTTTGTATATGTAATTGTTTTAAAAGTCACAAAGTACTATTAGAAAACTTAAGAAAGAAATATAAAAACAAGAGAAAGTCTTAGGCAGCATCCTCGCCTGATTTTATAGTCCCTGTCATCCCAAATCAATAAGAATGAGTAGGGAAATAAGTGGACACTCAAAAAAGTTGATATTTGTGGCTCTTCTGGGTCTGTACTGCAGCTCCCTCATACTTTAGGCTTTGCTATTGCAGCCACCAAAATTATCACTATTACAATCACAGTCAGGTCTGTTTAATGTGGAATGTGTCTAAGAACTTCCTGATTAGGAACTCTTAGGCCTGGAGCCTGCGCCTCAGCTGACTTAGCTGTGCACTAGGCCAGTGACCTCCTCCTTCTCCCCTTTCCGGGCAACTCCTCGAACTTCCCAGAACAGGCAGTGCTGGAAGTGCCAGGGACTCTAGGTGTTTCTGCACTTAGAGTACTGGGAGGCAGAGGTTGGGAAGCCGAGATAACATTCCCTAAGAAGCAAAAGAGCTTTAATAAAAACCACTCTTCTGCGATCTCTAGCTTGGTGTGCTTCTTTTAGTAAAATATGTGTGATTATTTCAATATTCTTTAAACTAATAAATTCTAGAATGTTTCTGTGCAGGGTTCCTGGAAGCAGCATTTGAACAGGAAATCTGCCTTCTGTGAAGAGAATTATTTGCATAAGGCATTGGAAAGAAAATCTGACCCTGAAACCAAGAGTTGGGAACATTTTTTAAAAATATACTTTTCGAGTATTTGGCAAGAATTATGTTAAAATATCTTGCTATTTTCCTACCCAAGGAAAGAGACATCAGAAAATGAGCAGAAACAGTAAACTGGAAGATTGCCACTTTATAGTTTCCAGAGAGTTAGCTGAAGTGGATTGGTTTGTTTTTGATAGTGTATCAGACCAAGACAATTAATCCCTCCCTTTCTGCTCTTTACTGTGCGAACAGTATTTCTTTGAATTCCTATGGATTTCTCTAACACCCCAGCTTTTCAGAAAGTGTGTTAAAAATGATGTTAGTTTACATTATAGTTCTTGTTTTTTTCAAATATTTTATTAGTACTGTATATGTTTGTAGTACATAGTGATTACATTCATTGTGGGGAGTTGGTACATATAGATAACAAATCTCAATTCTTTAGTTATAATACTAAATATTTTGTATGGGACTGAAATATCATTTGTTAAACAACTGCCTTTCCCAGGGTTTGTTTTTAAAAAGTTGATCAGGTTAACATATATTTGGTAAATATACAATTTAGAAAAAAATGATTTAATAGTTTGATATAGATATAGCTTATTTTGTTTCTTAGCAGTTTGTTTGCATATGGGAAGTTCCCTCCAATTCTCTTTGTCTGGTAAGTGAATTTCTTATAATAAACACCCAATAAATAATGGTAAAAGAAATAAACAATGACCTACTGTGTTTCCACTGTTGTCCTACTGAGTCAAAGTTAGGCTAAGCTAATTTTATTTCTAAGTGACTGAGAGGCCCAAAACATGGCAAACAGTCAATACTTGAAAGTCCATTTTAGGACAGGTTCGTAATTCCTTCCCCCAGGGATTGCATTCCCCCTAGGGCAACAAAATGAGTGCAGTGGGAGAATGTGATGGTGAGGTCCCCCTGGTGTCACACTCAGAGACAAGCGTGTCCTCCACCAACCAAGCTGTCCTGCAAAACTTAAGCTTGTTGCCTGTGTTGTATTTAAAATCTTCTGAAAATATTTATATAAGTCAGGCTTTGCTACTTTTGGAGAATGATATATTTCATAAATACAGCATTTGATGGCCTTTTGTTTCTTAACCAGTTCAAGCATCCAGTAATACTATGTCATTATTTTTTTTCAATTAATCATTATTTCAGCTTATCTCTAAATGTGTTCTTACAGTTGCAAATCTCGTAAGTCTAAGTTTCAAAATTTTTTATCAAAATATATAATGCTTTCATTACATCTTGAGATATAATCCTGGGGTTTGATCAATTAATGCCAGGAGGGATAAGGGAAATGCTTTAGGAGATAGTGGTTTAAAAGAAAAGATTGGCTTTAGAATAAGGGATGTTAAAGTAGATAGAATCTAATGTAAGAATAAAGGTTTTCTTTAGTGCTAAGTCCTCTGGAAAGCCACTCTCATACAGAAGAAAAGGTATGTTGGAGGTCAATAATGCTGGGTATGGAATCCAACTTTGATTCTTTCATAGCTATAAAACTGGACAGCTAGGTTGATCTCATGGAACATTATTTTCTCTATTGAAAATTCAGGGATAGTAATAATTTCATCAGATTCTTGGGGGAATTATAATAATGTCTACCATAAATTAGGCAAGTGCACACATGCACACACACACACACACACACACACACACAAATGTAACAAACTATGGATCTAAGGAAAAAGAAGATACCAGAAACTTTGCACTACATTCATGTTTCCCAATACAAAAATAGAATAGTCTTGGTTGTTCTACCCTTTCTAAAAAAAAGTTATTCTAAATTCTTGAATAATAATCCTATTAAAATATGTACTAGTCTTTTGAAAGTGTAAACTGGGAAAAAAATGTTTATCTAGAAGCTGGCATGACCTAAATCGAGGCTCTCCCAGCCCTGCCAAAGGAAGTGGCCCAAGAACCAGGGTGTTTGTTTTTTGGTATGGCACGTAAACAAGCGTGTCCACCGAGGTCCCAGAAGTTCACTCAGGGTTGCTCTGTCATTAGCTGTAAATAAAGAACAGAAGCTAAGGAAGAGGGAAGAGTCCTGAGAAGCCATCAACAAGGCTTTATAAAGAATAAATTATAAGAAGAGCGAATGCTCCCATTAAAGATTGCTAAGCCTGAAAAGATGTTGGAAGTAAGCCCTTGTTGATCTTCCCCATGTGTGTAACTTGCTAGTACTAAGATTTTAAATCAACCTCCAAAAGATCTATTAACTAGAAACTGGGAAAGAAGTACCTGTGAACCTGTAGCCAATGGGGAATCTTGGACTGAAGCATAACTACCCATGGTGCAACAGAAACATGAGAGGCATTAGTCTGACCTTCGCTGTCTGTCCCAGAACATTTCACAGAAAGGCTTGATTTGATCCTATTGCTCAATAGCGAAAATGCAAGCCTGTACTACTGTGCAGGTGGGAAACGACTGCTGAATGTTGCTCTTGCACCCTCAGACATGTCTTGGGGGATGAGCTCAGGTTCCCAAACACTCTCTGGTGGCTTCTCGGTGCCAGAGACATCTCACGGACCCATGGATTACAAAGATCAATAAGCTCTGCTTCCTGACCTTTGAGAGCTCATGGTCTAAGGAGTAATAAGCAAGAAAGACTCATAAATATATCATATGCACTATAAAGTGGTAAAGGAAAGGAGAGAGTGGACGTGTAGAGGGATGCTTAGGTCAGTTGCGGGATTTCAGTGAAACATTCTGGAGGATACGATGCCTTGAATGATTCACTGAAATGTGTATGAGAAGTTAGCTGGGTGAGGCTGGGTAACAAGGGGTCTTAGAAGGTACAAATGGCATTCTAGGCAGAAGGAACAGCTTGGAAAGTCATGTAACTGGATGATCAAAATTTTACAGGTGCTTATTTAGAGGGTAAAGCTCAGGGAAGAAGCTGGCTGGGAAACAGACTAGAAAATCAGGTGGTGGCCTGGTCCTAAAAGACTACATGTAATATTAAATATCTTGTTTTTGATCCTGTAAGTAATGGGAAATATTGAGGAAGTTAAAGAGAGAAGTGTCATGGACAAATTTCTACCTTATCTACATGATAGGATACCACTCTAGAAAATGGACCTGAAATACTAAAAGGAAATCAGTTAAGAAGCCATTGGAATTGCTTATGTTAATGATATTCAGAGTGTAAATGGGAAGTGAGTAGAAAGAGTAAAGGAGTATTGATTCAAGATAGGAGGTACAATTGGCAAAAACAAAAGACTGAATAAACATAGCCATTCAATAAAATAGAGAATAGTGCATTAGATGGAGGAATGATTTAGCAGGTGCAGACAATAAATTCACTAAGAGAGCTTATGATGGCATAACAATGGTTATATCCAGTAAACATCTGAATCTTTCGAGAAATCTAGGCTATAGATAAAATACTCCAAATCCTTAACAGTCAAATATGAGAAAGAATTACATTGCTTAAAGACAATACATTCATCCATAAATTGATTCTTTCACATATTATTTCTCAAAAAATGCCACATGATCACCAGTTCCCAGTGCGACTCCATGGCAGGCACTATTCTAAGGTCTGAAGTCACAACCACCACAGAACCTGCCTGCCTAGAGCAATGCATGCACCAGGCAGCTGAGAAAGAGTGGGTCTCACAGAGACTATGAGGGCGAGAGGAGGATCAGGAAAAGCAGGCTTCTAGAATTCAAGAGAAGAGAGCATATTACAGACAATATCAACCAACACAGGCAAATCTGGCAGAACTGTTGAGTAAAATAAGACTATGTAGGGTTCTTTGGGCCTGCAATGCAGGAGCTATGCTGCACAGAATGAAGGTACTTTTAGTGGAGCAGTGGGGCATAACTTAGGTAGCAGTGTCCAGCTTAAAGAACTTTGAAACACTGAGTGGAATGTACATGGAAAAGAAGTTTGGATGAGAAGTAACAGAGAAAGAAAGGATGAAAGCCATAGGCAGGGAAGGTCATTCAATCCAGAAATCATAAAAACTCTGTCCTTTGCTCCTTTTCTCATTCTCAGTGTACTCTTCACATCATTACTTGAATAATCCATCAGCAATTAAAACTCAACAATCACTGAAGCATCAGTAATCCCTATTTCTGCACATGTGATCAACATATCCAGATAGCATGACTTTAACATTTACCCCCGTTCCATAATTTTGACCTCGAATACTTGCTAGTCGTCTAATTTATCTAATTATCTAAACCTTAATCTACTTTTTCTTTAATTTCTATTGCTGCTTCTTCAATCTATACACCTAATACATTTCAGATGGTTTATTTTATCTGTCTTATAAAATCTGTATCTTCCCTGGTCTTTTTTCCTAATAATCCATCCTACCCATTGTTTCCAAAGTAACCTGCTAAAGCACAGTCTTGTTCATGTTATTTCCCTAATTTACAGGTTTTGGGGCCTTCCCAGTGCCTCTTGAACTAAGTAGAAACCCCATTATGACATTATTCAAATTTTTCCACAATATAGTTCTAATCAAGCATTTTGTCTTATATCCCTTTTCTCCTAACACATCCAAATTAGCCTGTTCATTGACTTCTAACTAAATATAAATTTTTCCCCCTTGTCCATGAATTATCCTTCACAGTGTCCAAATTTTATCTTTACTTCCAAATTCAGTTGTCTCCTTCATATTTGTTACAATTCCCACACGTTATCTTTTGACTCCTGTAAAGTTTATTTACAGAGATGCTATTTGTATTATAGATGCCTGTATATTATATACACAATCTCTACTATACTTTGAGATCTATGAGAGCAGAAGTATCTAAGGTATTTATATATAAGTATCCTGCATAGAGCAAATAGAAGTTGTCTAACAAATGCTTGATAAACATAAGCCAACTCCCTAGAATATAAAAATATAAAATTGTAGAGTTTAAAATGGCCTTAGAGATGATAAAGTCGAACCTCTTATAGGTGAAGGAGTTGAAGCTAAAACATGCTGCATGATTTGCCCAATATCTTTCATAAGATATTGGGAGTCCCATCTCCAGCTCTCAGTTCAGTCCTCTTTCCACTTCATCACCACACCTGTTTGGGAAAACCCAAGGTGAGTCATCATCCTTGTCAACCGTGTCCCTGAATTGGGCCCTGGCATCAGTGTCAAAGATGTAAAATTCTTTCCAGTCGCACAAGTGTAAGAGTCCGTAACTGAAGGGAAACAGAGAAGCCTCCAGCTTCCCACCCGACTTACCAGGCGAAAGAGGCCAATAGTGTTCCCAGTGATGTTGTAGTGGGTCAGAACGTCAGAATCATTGCTGATTCCAAATGACACATCTGGGAATTGCTGCACCATGCTATGGAATACGGACACTATTGGTATTTCTAAATCCTGGAAGCAAGAGAGGGAAAAAAGGAAATCACAGAGGTTATTTTGGAGGAGAGAGGAGGAGAATAGGGAAGAGATATACATGGACACATACCAGAAATCATGGGTTTGATTTAGCAGCTAGTGAAACAACATTACTCTTAAGAATGCAGGCTAAATCTGCAGTTGTGTTTTTGAATTTTTCAAGCAGTAGAGTTAATAGGGTACTACCAAAATCGTGGCTGGGCCAATCATAGAGCATGAAGTCTACCAGTAGCTGGAGAGGCCTCAAAATCAAACTTGGGTGCACTATCACGGATGTATTTGAAGAGGCAAATGTTATGGCAACAATTTGTAGAAGAAAGAGGAAATATAAAAATAAGAAATAGATGTTGTCAAATAGCCAGAAAGGAAAAAAAAGGGAAGAGTGAAAAATTACAGTCGGAGCTTAGGAAATTTCATGAACAAGGATTTGTGCAAGATGTGGATGAACAGTGCCCCTCTTCCAAAGAGCTTATTGTTCTTCATCCAAATCTGCAACCAGGCCTGAAGTTAGAGAGCAGAGAACCCACTTCCGGGTGATGATTCCTGCCCTTCCACAGAGACTGTCATCATTTTGGCTACTGTAACAGGACATTTGCCTGCAACTCCAGGCACTAAATGCACATATTCTTCCCTGCGTCTCCTTGGGCTACCTGTGAAAGGAGAAAAGAGGATGGCCAGCCTTGCATCCGGGGTCAAATAGAGGAAGATGGTGCCTTGTTCTTCTGAAAGGGTGAGTGCCTTTCATTAGAGGGTATGGGCCTTTGTGAAATAGAGCTTCCTCCTTTGCAGTCCCCTCTTTCAAATGGCATCGCTCAGGGGTCCAATGCTGGCACCTGGTGGCCACTTAAGGCACTGCACACTTCTTCTTCCAGCCTGTCTTTCTGAGCAGGACCACTTTCATTTATAGCTGAGATCTCTTATCACAGCAAAATGTGCTCCTCATCTTCCCCTCTCACTTGCATCTCATTGCACATATTTCCAGCTCTGTAGATAGAATCAGCAGGGTGCCGGCAAGTTGGAATTAATGAATGAGACAGACAAGAGGTGTACAGTGAAAGGAAGGGCTGGATCAGCTGAGAGAACTGCCAGGTGCTGCCCCGGGAAAGGGAGGAGAATCCTGGAATGAAGGCCTCTCCTCCATGCTGTCACTATCACTCAGCCAGGCAGCTAGTCCAGCTGATGGGGGTTAATCCTTCAATATAAAAAGTCATCTCTCTCTCTTTTTAAAAAATTTTTTTCAGAAAAGGAAAAGGAAAGAATGGAGGACTACCTATTTGGGGAAAGGTTTTAGTGGTAAGTACTGACTAATGCTTGTGGGTTTTGGCGTACCATACAAAAAGCATTATCTGGATCCTAAAATATGTGTTTACTCTGGCTCCTACTTCCTTATAGGGTGTTATGAGAGTACAGACTGAGGACATTTAGGGCAATGGTAGGGTTTGATGATAGCTTTCTTTCTGCAGATACTGTCTTGGCTTCAAAGTATCCATAGGTAAGGAGACAGAGGCAGCAGGCTCAGAGCTCTTGGAGCAAGTAAGGCAAAGACATAACGCTGAGATGGAATGCTTTGAGGTTAAGAAGTTTCAGTTGAAACTCAGAGCCTCCTTGCTTCTAATGCAGCAGCATCTGGGCAACAGCCCAGAAAGATGGCTCCCTTGAGGTAGGGCATGCTTGCCTCATGGAGGCATAGCCAGTAGAATGTCGGCACAAACCTGGAAGAAGCCTATGATGGCCACCTCAACAGCAGCGACAAAGTCCATGGCAGCCGGGACATCTGTGAGCCACACCAGTTCCTGGGCAGCACTGGGACCATCTGGACAGAGGGGAAGGGGCTATCAGGGCACTGAGCAGAGGAGCAGCAGCTTTAAGTACTGAGGACATCTCGTGTGCCTTTTCTCTCCAGACCAAACCCAAGCATATCATAGTTTCTGGGTGTGCTGTTATAATTCCAAAGCTTTGTGGTTAGGATTTTATTGGCATATGGAAGGTGACCTCACCTAATTGTCTCTCACTGAAAGACGCCATTAGACTTGTCTCCTCTCTTCAAGGCAACACACATATTTAGTATTTTCTAGAAAATATTCCAGGTTTAGAAGGAAAGTACCCAGAGTACTATCACATTCCCCTCCCTTCTCCTAACAAAACTTTTACTTTACGGGCAGCATGTGCTTTTTTCTTTTACCTGAGGGTTCTTCAGCCTCCGCAGCAACTTCTGGGGCCAGTCCACAGGTGAGAAGAAATATGAGAAATGGGCATCTGAATTGGATGGCTTCCACTGTCATTTCCTTGCACCAGCTCTGGACTTCTATGCTTTGTGGTATGGATTCGGGGCAGCACACTCTGTGTGCTGTGGGGATACTAGTCACAGCTCTGGGAACGTCACAGCTGGCTCTGGGGGGAGGCTTCGAGTTTTGAGATAAAACACGGAGCATAGTGACAGGGCCTCAGTACATAGCCAATCAAAAAGAAGTCAGAATGATCCATTTAAATTTTAAAACATACTCTATGCCAGGTCCTGACTTAGGCACTAGGAATACAAAGGTAACTGTGGTCTGATATGGCCGTTTCCAGTTTAGCTTGTTAATGGGAAAGATAGATGTACAAACCAGGCATTTCAACATAAGATGAAAAGTGATAAAGCACAGAAAAATCCATAGAGTGAATGAATTTTACCCTATGCATAAATAAGATTTTGCCAGGTAACATGTGGAAAGGGGGTTTCGTGTGTGAAGAGCAAACCACAAGGATGCAAATATAATGTGACAGAGTTGTTAGTGATTGAGAATTATGAAGAGGGAGGGAATGATAAATATGGGTGGGAAGATATGCCAGGGTCAGCTTGAAAGGCCTTTTATATGGTAAATAAGCAGAGGAGCATCAACTTCATTCTGTTGGTGAAGAGACCAGAAGAGAGACATTTGATCTGACCACAAGTGACCATGTGAAATCCAAGATGAGATTCCACAGGTTGGGATAGACAGGTCTCGAGATTGGGAGAAACTGCCATAAGAAAATATCTTGAAAGAAATTAAATTTAAATTTTTACTACCTGTATTCTAAACATCACCCACTGCATATGCCAATCTATTCCCAAGCGTGTCAAGGTCCCCTATACTGTGGACCCCACTCAACTTCCAATGCGAATCACCTGGTTAGCATATTTATTTGAATAAAGAAAACAGAAATGAGTGTCTCACTCAGAACACACGGTTCTTTTATTCTTACTCTCTTGTGTTGTTTACAGTATTTCCCACAAAAGAAGAACCCCAACTGGTCAGACTGTTATAAGGGAGTCATTGAGCCAGCAGCAACCACAAAGGAATCCCGGGTGGCAATGAGCTGCTAACCCTAAGGCAGAAGAACTGATAATGGGAGTTCGCCAACTTTGTGGCTACTAGTTGCTCGAAGGGGAGCAAGAGAGGGAAACAGTATATGGGATGGGGAAATTGGGAGATGGGGCTCCCACTGGGCTCAGAGGGAGTGGGTGAGATTTAAGCCTCGTGTGCTCTCCAGGGTCTGCTTTGAGAGACCCAGGGATAAGATGCAGCAATAAGGAAATGTGGGGGGTGTTGGAGAAGGGACCCAGCTGTGAACAAGGACCAGGGAGGAAGGAAGGAGGGACAGGACGATCAACGTGGCTGGGAGGATTCTTCCAAGTGGTAAGAATGCAGGGGAGATGGGCAGGTGCACTCATTCTGTCCAGTCCTTCTTAATGGACAGGTTCCACTCCCAGGTGAGGTGGTCCTGCTTGTCGTCGTCGGTGAAGAAGGACTTGTTGTGGTAGGTGCCTCTGGCCAGCATTCCCTTGGGAGCCTCCTCCACTGGAGTGAGGAACTCATACTCCTCTGGCCGAGGCCCGTAGCTGCCAACCATAAATGCTGCTTTATCCACTGGGAGGAAAGAAACGTTCATTAGGATAATGGTCCAGCAGAGGAAAAGTACACACTGCAAACTGGAGAATTGGGAGTACAGCTCACATTGATGCAAGCCAGAGCAATAGTTTCTGAGCTTGGCTGAACATGTTCCACCTAGGCATTTTTTGTTTAATAATTTTTTAGAGTTGTTTTTTTTTTTTCTCCAGCACTAGGGCATTCTACCACTGGACTACATCCCCAGCCCTTTTTGAACACTTTCATTTTGAGGTAGGGACTTGCCAAGTTGTGCCTGTTTGTCTTGGACTTGAGACCCTCCTCAGCCTCAGCCTCTTGAATGGCTGGGATTTCAGGGATGCATTGTGGTGCAGGGATTGGAGTGACTTTGAATAATAGTTTCCTTTGCCCTGATCCCAAAGGCTGTGGGTCAGTAGCCTGTTGTGGGTCCCAAGAATCAGTATTTTCAAAAAGCAAGGCAGCCAATTCTGTTCATCAAGAAAGTTGTGGCAACAGTGCCTTAAATCAATGGAGATCTACTCTGTGTATGGAGTTGTAACAGATTATACCATTTAAAAATACTCAAACAGGTTGAGACATGAAATCTGGCCCGCCCTGTAACTACCTGAGTCACATGCCATTTTGGGCTTTCATTTCCTCCTCTGTATAATGAGCTTCAAGGATCTCTTATGTACAAGCCATCATTCAGTGAACATGTTCATTGGAGGAGATACTTTAACAGCTAGTAATCAAAATATAATTCATATATGGAAGGGGGACATGAGTAAATTGGTCTAAATAAAAAGTAACTAATTGAGACAAATACTGATAATAGCTAATAGAGTTTATTTGTGGGGTGAGTAATTATGATATAAGCATTAAAAGTAGTTGGGATTAGAAATACTAAGAAAGGTAAGTGGCTACACAGCTACTACATTGTTGGCTTTTTAAGTGTTAAGTTTGAAGGAACAGTTACAGACACATCATGGACCTTTCGCGAAAGTGAGTCAAGATAGTCTCCATGTTCAAAGGAAATAAGAAACTGAACTATTTTTTCATAAGACTAGGTAATGGAAAGGCCAAACAACATCTTTTAGGTCAACAGTCTTCTCTGGGATTTGAGTAACTGATTGGTTATTAGGTGATGCAGATTTATCAGAGAATTTCTCCTCTATCCTTTGCTTGTCCATCTGGTAGGACTGGCTATGATTCACTATTTCTCACCTGTGGGGAAGACAGCCTCACAAGCAAGAAAGGACGCACTGTGAGGGTACTTCCTTCACCTTTCTACCTCTCATTTCTCCCTGGTCATAAATGAAAGGCATGTTCCTAAGACATGTCAAGAAGGACAGCAGAATAAATAACATTGTTCCACTATTTCTTCTCATTCAACAGCTTTTCTCAATCCTGGAAAGTATATGTTTTTAACTATTTGTTTGTTAGGAAATTGAACACTGCCTCCCTAGGATATCCCTGACTCCCACCCCCACCACGCATATTCCTCGGCAGGTCTTTCTTCTCTTAGATTTCTCTGACACTTGGGTTTTACACCTGAGAACCATTTCCTTTTTCCTTTTGTGATTTTACATCTTTTATTTCATTTAAACTTATCTCAGTTACTGTTTCTGTATATGACCATTATAGTTCAATTCCAGAAGCTTAATAGTGAAGGTTATTGGCTGATTCTATCTAAAGCAGACATCCTGGAGGTTGTCCTTACTGATAATGTCTAGGTCTGAGGCATATATGTTCCAAGGGTGTGCAGCCACAGCTTTGATCAGATTCTTATAAGACACTATGACAAATAATTTTAATAGCCAGTATTTGAAATTTCACTGAGAAGCAGTTTGGGACAGTGGAAAGGAGGGGTCCCTTACCTTTCAACCCAGTCCGGTAGGTGTGCTGAACATATTTCAGACCTGACACAATATCCTTGTTTACCTGTAGATGGGAATGATCCAACCAATGTATGTTAAAGACAGTCTTATTCTTCCTCATTTTTCGTGTTGATCCTGCCAGGCTAAATCTTCACTGAGGATAAAAGGTCTAATGATTTAATCAGAATATGTGTTCCTATAATCATTTAAGGTAGTGGTGATGCAGAAATCCAACTGAGACCACAAGACTCAATCTTACCAGTCCAGTTTTAATCAATGAGTATTGTTTTTTTTAATTGTTTGGTGTGGGGGGGAGGGGAGTGGTTAATTAAAACACTGTCTCAATATTCATCATTGGATTTATCTATGCTTCATGGTCCAAAAAATAGTCTTAAACTTCCCATTGCAATACTATCAGCCAAAATACCAACCTTGCCTCAGGAAAGGTTATAAAAATACCAATGAAAAATACTGTGTAAACACCTTAAAACCATAACCTCAGAAACGATCCACCTAGCATATGAAAAACAAACATGGAGAAAAGTCATAATGGAAAATCAGGTCTGGAAGATGATTATATCCTCTATATAACTGAAAATGAAGTCTACAGGTAAGTGATGGGCCATGTGAAGACACCCTTTCCCATCAATAATGGATAAAATCCATTTGCATCTGGCAAGCTTTTTGGATGTTCATCATTGTCACACATTATCTGAGGTATTGTTATTTCCCAAGACTTTCAAAGAAAACTCACAAAACCAGAATGAAAATATAGACAGCCATGTACTTTGTTTTTCCATGACTCATTTTACCTGAGTCTGAACTGGGATGTCTGTCAGTTTCATACAGTGGTCATGTCTATACAAACAAACCGAAGTGAACATTGAGTCATTAGCTGGAGAGCTTATGAAGTTCAGCTTATGAGCTTCAGCAATATGAAGTAGTAAGGAACTTTCAAATATATTTCCCCAACACAATTATGGCTCCTTATGGCTCACTTTAAGTGTTGGATACAATACTTAAACCAATCCATCAGAACTATCTTTTGTTAAGGTGCCAGAGTGGTGAAGACTCTCAGATTAGATTCTAGACTTTCTAATCAATATAAACTTATCAAAAGCTAATAGAATGAAAATGGATTCATTGGAAAGAATGAAATAAAGTGAACCCCAAACTTTCTAATTCCTTTGACTTCCAGATCTAGCTCTGGAAAATGAATATGTTTTCCAAAAGTCTTGAGCTTGTCCCTTAGGCTAGTGGGAAATGTGATTTGATGAGAAAAAGACCTATGAAGAAGAGTAAAGGGGTAACAATAAGGGCTGCAAAACAGAGCCAACTGTTTGAGCATTGGTCCATGGAGGATTCATCACATACAAATACACTCAGGAGGGCTAAAGGAAAAGTATGAATATTCACAGTATCCTTTTCCTCTGCTCTCACCCTATTCCCCACTGTATCTCCTACCTTCTACAGAAAGAAGAAGTCTTGGTGACGTGAATAAAGGTGAGAGGTGTGGAAGTTAGTGGTGCTAAATGTGCTTGGGAGGCAGAGGAAAGGGGAGGGAGAAAATAAAAGAACTACCTAGGCCTGGTGTTCAGAGTGTTGTGAATTTTAGGAAGAAAAGGAGAAGAACATGAAGAACGACTCACAGAGAGAGTGCAAGAGGATTTTTGGATGTGTTGCTGG